TGAACATTGTAAGAAGCCCAAACATACAAAAGAAACATGTTGGAAACTGCACCCTCACTTGGTTCCTGCGAAGTTGAGAAACAAGAAGGGCACTGCTCATGTAGTCGTGAACACTGATTCAGCATCCTCATCTGGCACAAAAGGAACATCTTTAGAGACCTTAGCTGCAGTTCGGGCTGTCCTAATACAGCTAGAAAAGGAAGTTGGAAATTCAACTCAACCACCACAGTCTTCATCAGCCCCTGCTACATCGGCCTTTGCACATTCAGGTACTCGAGCTTCAGCCTATCATGCCTCAGCTCCAGGTACTACTGAACCTTGTTGGGTAATCGACTCAGGTGCATCTGATCACATGACTAGCTTGTCTTCATTGTTTACTACTTACCATTTGTCTTCTGGTAGGGATAACGTATCTATTGCTGATGACTCCCTGGTTCCTATTTCTGGGAAGGGTGACATCAAGTTATCAGATACTATCTCCCTGTCATCTGTCTTGCATGTTCCTAAGCTTGATACTAACCTTCTTTCAGTYARTAGTATTACCAAGCATATGAACTGYTCAGTAACCTTCTTCCCTGACCGATGTGTTTTTCAGGACTTGGAGACGAAGAAGGTGATTGGGACTGATCGTGAGACGAATGGGATCTATCTGCTCGGGGAGCGGTTCCGTCAGGGAGAGTCAGTTGAGAAGATGTCTTTTGTTTCTCAGAGTGTGAGTCCGGTTATGCTTTGGCATAACCGATTAGGTCATTTGTCTTTTCGGTCTTTACAGAGTCTGTTTCCTGCTTTATTTGAGTCTATTGAGTTGTCTCAGTTACAGTGTGAAAGTTGTGTTTGCTAAGCATTGTAGAAAGCCTTATTCATTGAGTAATAAAAGGAGTGATAATTCTTTTGATATTGTGCATACTGACGTTTGGGGGCCTTATCATATCCCTTTCATGGGTGGGTACAGATATTTCTTGTTATTTGTTGATGACCATACCCGTTTCTCTTAGGTTTATCTCAGGCGTTCACGAGATGAGGTACCTTCCTTGATCCAAAATTTTCACCAAATGATCCTAACCCAGTTTGATGCCAAGATCAAAGTTCTCAGATCTGATAACGCAAAGGAATACTTTGCTAAATCATTGACATCTTATCTTCATCATGGGGTTATCCATCAGAGCTCTTGCCATCATACACCTCAGCAGAATAGAGTTGCCGAAAGGAATAATAGGCACATTTTGGAAGTGGCTAGAAGYCTCATGTTTACTTCCAATGTTCCTATTCGCTTCTGGGGTGATGCTATCCTCACGGCTGTATACCTTATTAATCGGGTTCCTTCCGGGGTCCTTGATATGCGATCTCCTTTTTCCCTTCTACACCCATGTGAGGACTTGTTTTCTATTCCCCTTAAGACATTCGGTTGTACTTGCTTTGTTAAATTTCTTGGTCCCCATCACTCCAAGTTCGAACCCAAAGCCTCCAAATGCATCTTCCTTGGTTATGCACACACTCAAAATGGTTGTTGCTGCTATGATCCTGTCTCAGGGAGGAAGTTTGTCTCCATGGATGTCACTTTCTTTGAGGGGACCCCCTATTATCCTCGGGTTTCCCCTCAGGGGGAGAGTAGTGAGAGTGGGGCAGTTCCTTTACCTATTCCATTGGGTGATGAGAGCTGCAATCAGGAGTTGAGGGAGAGTTGCAATGGTGAGGGTGGTCAGAGGGATCAAGAGTTGAGGGTCTATCGCAGGCGGTGCAGGCAGGTTGATCCTGATCATCAGCAGTCCAGGCCAGCTCCAATCTCATTTGCAACTCTAGGTCCAGGTACTACAGTCCCAGGGCCCACAGAGACTTCCCCTATCGTTGCCATTTCACCTCCTACAGATGATCTTGACCTTCCGATTGCAGTCCGTAAAGGGAAACGACATTGTACCACATCTACA